AGACCTCCTGAGGAGAGCTGCTTCATCAATATCAATTGCAGAATGCTTCCATCACCTCTTCTCTAAACAGAAATTGATGAAATAGAACCTTTAAAATTATTTTTATTAGGTGCAATTTGAAATCTTCCTCTTTAACAGCGCTATGAAACTATTCCAATTAGCTGTACAAGTCTTGAAGGCTTGAATAAAATGGAAGGAGGATAAATAGCTCGTTAGGGCTTTCTGTATTTTAATGAGCCCCAGGGTGTATTTGGCCCTGAGTCCATGAACCTCAGATATTGAGAGGAGCCTTGGCAAAGTACTCAAGAAGTCAATGTCAGAACCAAAACCCAAAGTACCTTGAAGCATTGATTGGCCCCACTGAGGGCCATTACTGACAAAGCCTCCCCATGGCCTCCTTAGGCAGATAGTTGGAGGTTCTGATTGCAGGTAGGCAAAGGCACTGTGCAGGTGGCTGTAATGCTGAGAAAACCCTGGATTTGTTTCCTGAAGCAGAAAGGCCAAACCCTGACCACAGAGGTCCTGGGAAGGCCGATCCTGACCATCACACATGGCTCAGAGCCCTTCCTGGGAGCATTGGGGTGTGAGGATGAGCAATGTCAAGTAAAGAAAAACTCTGCAACGGCTCCTGAAGTGCCCAAGAAGGGACAGGGAAGTAACAAAAGCCAGAGCCTCAAAACAAATTTTCTCCTACGCCAAATTCCTCCCGTCGCGTTTGCACAGTCCTCCCTGGTGGTCGTGGACAGGGTCTTCAGATGAAGGCTCGTAGTCTTCTTCACTGTGTTCGCTAGCTGACCCTTACTTCTGCGCCAGCTCAGTCCTGTGGTCACATACACCTTGTCCTTCAGGTCTGGGCTAATTTGCAGCTCCTTTGTCTTTATGGCTCAGTGGTTTCAGTTCCCCTCTTATCTCAAGGACAAGAGATACCAGAGATGGCCCATCCTATTCTTTTCCATTCCATTGCAAAGGAGTTACCATCTTTTGATATGGACCATCTGGTGAGCATCCCAAGAAGGGGGGGGGGGGGGGGGGGGGGGGGGGGGGGGGGGGGGGGGGGGGGGGGGGGGGGGGGGGGGGGGGGGGGGGGGGGGGGGGGGCAGGCTGTTGGGTTAGTGTTTCCTCAGATCAATTCCCCCTTTTCTTTTCCCAGTAGTAAATTCTTTTACTTTTTTTAAAATTTGGATCGTTGTACTAATAATAGCTTTAGCCTAGCTAAATAAAAGTAATTGTTCAATTACTTTTAGCGAAAGCAAAATTATTCTATTATTTATCTCAAAAACAATAGGTACCAGAAGATACTGGGTTTGGTTTGGAAGATTAGCCAAAGAAGAAATGAGCATCAGCCAAAGATGAATTGAGCATGTGCAAGGATGGAGTTCAGGCAGCGGAGACAGTGAGGAAGACTATTGATGACCACCAGAGGACCCCCGTCCAACATAACCATGCATGCATTAGAGACATTTGCATGTGATAATGACTTTCAGGAAATAACATGAATATGCTAATCATTACCCTCCCCTCATTCTATTCAATTAATCAGTAAAGATGAACAATGGTTTCTGTAGAATAGGAATATAGGTAAGGTGAGGTAATGGAAAGCCAATCATTATTAAGGTCAACTTAAACTTTATGAATTTTGTTGATCTTATGCAACCATGACTTTGCTGAAAAAGTGTATAAATATGTTGTGCTTTGTACCTGTTGGTGAACACGTCTTTGGTGGAGCTATCCCCCGTGTTCCCCAGCGCTGGAATAAAAGAGTGCCTGCTTATTTGCTTTGTGTAGATAAGTTCTTTTCATGACTGCGACTGATAACACTCTGAGCCCACAAGTGACCTCACTGTGAGCAGAAGTTTGACCTAGACATCTCCTAAGGTCCCTTCCAGCATGAATGATTCTGCATTTTGATCCACCAGGGATCTTTGCTCAATTATGGGGGAAATCACTCAGGTTCCTAGTCACCACTTATGTCAACAAGAACGTTTGGTCAGATCTGTGAAGGTCTTGTCCCTCTCCAGGTGCTGTTGCTCAGACGCAGGGCTGTTTGGGTGATACTTCCAAACAGCCCTGATCATTTCCATTGCTTCACTTTTTCTTTCCTTTTTCTTTTAACAGTTTATGCCCCTAGACCATCCTTGTACCCTCCCATGCAAATAGCCCATATCTATTTGCCCTGACCTCCCAGGTCCTAGTCTGGCTTCCTTTGTACTTTCATTTGGTTTGTCTGAGCTTGTCACTATGGGAATGTGTACTTTGGTGAACAATAGCATTGAACAAGTGACTCCTTTTATTATCTGTTATATCCTGCAATTCCTGATGCTGTTATCATCTCAGAGGTACCCCATGTCAGGGTGATGCATCTACACATACACATTAACAGCCGGCCCAATGGAGTTTCATCCCTCTGGAACCCTGAAAAACTCTGAGATTTGGCAAATGGACAATTCACCTAGTTTTACAAGGACCAGGAGCCAGCCCTTCATTGGAGGCAGAATAACCCCATAGATGAGGGCATGCTAGGACCTGACCGGCATAGGAGTGAACCCAAGGAGAAGGGCCCGGGGTGTTACCAGGTGCAGGCATGGTACAGTGTAGGACAGCCTGCAGTAGAGGTGGCCTGTGGCTCTGGCAAGGACAAACATCCCAACAGGACCTAGGTCTTTCTCCACTTGGCTACAGCTGTTGCGTCTGCTGCCAAGTCCTCCCAAGAAAAACTTTATTCTGATGCTCTGGACTTCATTTGTTCTTCACCATTGCTTGGAGAAGCCGGGAGGTGTTGTACAGTTTTCCTATACTTGACATTGCTCACTCTCACACCCCAATGCTCCCAGGAAGGGCTCTGAGCCATGTGTGATGGTCAGGATCGGCCTTCCCAGGACCTCTGTGGTCAGGGTTTGGCCTTTCTGCTTCAGGAAACAAATCCAGGGTTTTCTCAGCATTACAGCCACCTGCACAGTGCCTTTGCCTACCTGCAATCAGAACCTCCAACTATCTGCCGTAAGGAGGCCATGGGGAGGCTTTGTCAGTAATGGCCCTCAGTGGGGCCAATCAATGCTTCAAGGTACTTTGGGTTTTGGTTCTGACATTGACTTCTTGAGTACTTTGCCAAGGCTCCTCTCAATATCTGAGGTTCATGGACTCAGGGCCAAATACACCCTGGGGCTCATTAAAATACAGAAAGCCCTAACGAGCTATTTATCCTCCTTCCATTTTATTCAAGCCTTCAAGACTTGTACAGCTAATTGGAATAGTTTCATAGCGCAGTTAAAGAGGAAGGTTTCAAACTGCACCTAATAAAAATAAATAAATGTTCTATTTCATCAATTTCTGTTTAGAGAAGAGGTGATGGAAGCATTCTGCAATTGATATTGATGAAGCAGCTCTCCTCAGGAGGTCTGGACAGGTAGGAAAACCAGTCCCCTGAGGTCTGACACTATATGGACGGACAACCTTGTTCCTCATTTCCCCTACTCACCATTTCTGTCATTGTCAAACTGGGGTTTACATCATTTTTCCTTCTATAAGATTTCTCCACTGAACTCTGGAAGCTGAATTTTCCAACTCCATTGGACCACCTCTCACCTGTTTTCCTTAGAGAACTGGCTGCACACAGGCGCAGAGGGAATTTTCCTCTTTGCAGACAAAGAAAATTGAATCATCATCAAGTTTTGTAAACAACAAAACACACCCCCCAGCCGTACGCTGAGCACAAGATTTCTCTAATGGGGTTGCCTTTTGTCAAGGGATAATCTTGTGGGAAATGGTTTAGATAGATTGATAGAAAAAGGTAGATATAAACATAATGAAAGAGTTGGCTAAAAGAGAGAATTGGAATACTGAAAGACTGGCAGGCTTCTAATTCCTGAAGCTCAAAGCAGCAGCATAGCTGAGAGGTGTCTGAATGAACAAAGGTTAACAGGGAGAGAAAAACTGGAGAATAACAGAAAGGGCCGTTGTCTGGGAAGCCATCATCTGAAAAGATGACTTTAGAAATGGTCATTGTATCAGGACGGGGGGAAAATGTATGAAAGAATTGAGAAATTATATGCACCGCATAACAGGCAGCATAGTGGTAATGAAGTTAGAGGGGAAAATCACTATTTCTTTGGAATAAACCTACTGAAAGGTCATGGGATTGGTCGTGGTCTGCTGTGAATGAGGACAAGGCAATGTTGTACCCATCTTTGAAAGAGGCCAAAAGTGCAACCCAGGGAACCCCAGGACGTACAAGCTCACTTTGGTGAGGAGTGTGCCATCGGTTAGTGTCCTCCTGGGTGACTTTTCTGGGCACCTAAAAGAGTGTGTCCTAACTCAGTCAGCATGGACTTACCAAGGGTACCTACTGGGACACATTTAGGGCAGCACAAGGAACTCTGTGCTGGATCCTGTTCAGTTTAACACCTGTATCCATGACCCAGAGGAATCACCATGTTCAACAAGGACAAATACTGGTTTCTATACCTGGGATGAAATCATGCTGGACACAAGTATGGACGGGGGAGAGGAGTGGCTGGAGAGTACCCTGCAGAAAGGGATGTGGGGGTGCTGGTGGGCAGCAGCTCGACAGGAGTCAGCAGTGTGCCCTGGCAGCCCAGACAGCTGACTGCATCCTGGGCTGCATCAAACATGGCATAACCAGCCGGGCAGGAGAGGTGATTATCCGGCTGTACTCAGCATTGGTGCAGCCTCCCTGTGAGTACCGTGTGCAGGGCTGGGCCCCACAATGTAAGAAGTGCGTGAAGGTACTTGAATGTGTCCAGAGGACTGCAACAAAGCTGGTGAAAGGGCTTGAAGGCATGTCCTCTGAGGACTCCAGGCTTGACTATTTTGGAGAAAAGGAGGCTGAAGAGTGGCCTCATTGCTGTCTATGTCTTCCTGGGGAGGAGAGCATTTGGCAATGGTATCCGGTGATAGGACATGCGGGAATGGTTCAAAACTGCAACAGGAGAGATATCAACTTGACATTAGGAAGCATTCTTTACCAAGAGGGTGGTCCAACACTGGAACAGGCTTCCTAGAAAGGTGGTCGACATCCCAAGCTCATTAGTGTTAAGAGGCATTTGGACAATGCCCTTAATAAAATGATTCATCTTTTTGCCAGACTTGAAGTGGTCTAATATTTGGACTAGATGATCATTGTAGGTCCCTTCCAACTGAACTATTCCTATTCTATTCTATTCTATTCTATTCTATTCTATTCTATTCTATTCTATTCTCTTCTATTCTATTCTTCTATTCTATTCTATTCTATTCATTCTATCTATTCTATTCTATTCTATTCTATTCTTCATTGTATATATAGATGTAGAGGGTGGATACCTCCAGCAGCTGGGCTCAGACACTGTGTGTCGTCAATAGCTGCCCCTGGATACCAGCCTTTCCAGTTGCAGCTGGACATACAAGCCCTCAAAGCAGCACCCCCATTCCAGATGATGGTATAGACCACCCCAGTCACACACAACCACAGACTTTTAAGTTCACTCACTCCAGCTGCTCAGTTGGTGGCACTAATGAGGGCTATCTGACCTCCAGTTGCTGCACTCACACCCCATGTTCACACATTCACTCAGAAGAGAGATTCCCTCACACAGGAAGGGTGTTGAAAATAAGTTTAATGAGAAGTAGAATGGAACACACTGGTCAGGGTCCTCACACTAAGAGCTAATAATAGTCTTGTGCAGTCCAAAAATGCTCGTGCTCTGCATCCTATAATGTGTCCTCCACCCCTAGGCAACAATCCCCTTAGTCCAAATGGTGAGCCAGAGAGCTGCTCTCAGTGGCTCATCTTGATGGGTTTCACACCTGGACAACAAGGCTGATGGCTCTCCCAGGGCAGCTGTCCTGGTCTGAGCCTGGTCTGCAACCAACCTCCGCAGCTGGTCAACCTCCCTACCCCTCCCCCCTGGGAATGGGGAGGGAATTAGAGGGTGAAGGGAGATCACAGGCTGAAACAGGAGCAGTTTAATAATGGCAATAAAATGAGAACAATGATGATGATAGAAAAAAAAGAAATATAGTAATAACAGGCAATGCACAATGTAATTGCTCACCACCGCCAACCAATATCCAACCCGTTGCCGGCTAGCAACCCCGAGATACCAAGATCCCACAATCGCAATCCAGAAGCGAGAGAGCTCCTTCCCGACCACCCCTCCTCTATATAGTGAGCATGACGTTCCATGATATGAATATTTAATTGGCCAATTAGGGTCGGTGCTCTGTCCGTGCTCCCTCCCTGCTCCCTGTACCCTTGTGCACGACGCAGGACATGGAGAGTCGGAGAGTCCTTGAAGTCTCGGTAGCAGCTGAAAACATCAGTGTGCTATCAGCATTCTTCTCCTACCAAACCCAAGCTAAATCCAAACAAGCACTCATCTAGTCCCTGAAAAGGAATATTAACTCTATTTCAGCCCAAACCAGGACAGCAGCTCTGTAAGGAGCTGGGACAAGATGTTCATTGCTCAGGAGCTTGTAAATTGGGTTCCCACCTGCCACTGTGCCTCTGTGCTCTGCTTGTTTGTGGAGATGGGTTCCTGATGAGCTGCTGGCTGTGCTGTGATGGGTCTGGGAGCAGCTGGGGCAGGATATTCACTGAGTTACTCCTCCTGCCATGGTTAGTGCTTCCTTGGTGTGCAGACGAGCTTCTTATCACTTAACCTCACACAACCCAAAAAAACAGAAATCTCCTGAGGCATCTGTCTTTGGAGGTGACATACATCTGCACTGGTATTACTTAACATATGATAGCAGATATTGGAATTGCTGTCCAGAAATGCATCATGATTAGGGGAAAATCTGCAGTGTTGCACAGCCAAAGGCTTCACTCAGGGCTGCTATCACAGTCTTGTTTCTCAGGCTATAGATGAAGGGATTTAAGAATGGGTACAGGACAGTGTTCAGCAAAGCTACAATTCTGTTTGTCTCCAAGGAAACATCTTCCAAATGATGCACATAGAGAGCAATGCAGCTCCCATATACAATAGCCAAGGAGGTGAGATGGGAAGAACACGTAGTAAAAGCTTTTTCCTCCCAATGATGCTGGAAGGTGTAGAATACAGAGGAGAATGCCCGTGTAAAATGCCAGAGTTAAGCATAGGAGGTCAGTATGACAAATGATGCTAAACCAGAGTCTATTTTCCAAAGCAGGCTGGTGTCAGAGCACGACAGTCTGAATAAGGGAGAACTGTCACAAAAAAAATGGTAGATCTTATTTGAGCCACAGAAATTCAGCTGGTAGAGGAAGACCAGACGGTAACTCAGGAGCGTGATGCCTATGACCCAAGCAGCAACAACCAGCTGGATGCAGAGCTGAGGCTTCATGATGGCAGCATAATGCAAAGGCTGGCAGATAGCAATAGCGGTCAAAGGACATAACACAAGTAGAACAAATTCTGTAAAGCCCAGGGCAAAAATAGAATAGGATTGGGCAAAGCAGCTGCTTAGAGAGATGGTTCTCCTACCAGAACCCAGGATCAGAAACAATTTGATGCTTGTGGAGGATGTAAACCAGATTTCCAGGAAGGACAGATTGCTGATGAAAAAGTACATGGGGGTTTGCAGGCGGTGATCCCACACACGAGGAAATGATGGTTACGTTCCCCATCACTGTTGTCAGGTAGATGAGCAGAAGGGCCAGAGAGAAATAGCTGTAGTCGTCGATCAAGCCCCGAGAAACCCTCTAGGGTGAACTCGGTAACCGCAGTTTCATTTTCTGGTCGCATGTGGAATTTCAGTTCATCCTGCTGAGACTGGAGCACAGCAACAAACATGTGTGGTAGTGTCACAGTCTGGGTGAAAAGTTCTATCCTTCCTTTTCTGCTTCTTTCCTTTCTAGCAGTCTTCCTCTATAATACAGGCAAGAGAGTCCTTCGAGCATTTCTCACACCCTGATTTGTATGTTTTACATTTCATTTAGTCCTCAGAGAATCTGTTGGCTTCCTTCTGCCTTTTTCAAACACTCACAAAGGATCCTTTCTCCAGAACAGAAGGTTTCAAGAGGCTGTTAGCTGATTCACCCTATTCATGGGAAATACCAAATTCACTCAGACCTGTTGCACACCTCTCTCACACCTACGTGCCAGACTCATTTCTTCTATTGCACGACTGCTAGACCATCAAATCAAACCACATCAAATCCGTATGCTGAAAGCTATGCTTTCTACTTTTCAACACTTGCCTTTTTGGACTAGGAATCCCTGAGAATCTCTTGATTCCAAAATAAGTAATATCAAGTAATCTCTTTGTAATTCCATGCTTTCTTCCACAGCTTCTTGCTCTCTGTTTCCTCAGCAAAGGGGGAGGGGGTTGGAGTAGGGACAGGTATCACTTGTCTTCTTTAGTGCTCTCAGCAATGACTGAAATTTATTATGGTTCACACAGTCTGTCACACAGTCTTGTCTGACATCCGCCTGCACTGAAATGCCCTTGTTTCCAAGCAGTGCTCATTGATGTTACTATCAGATGTCCTGACTTAAACGCAGAGCAAGAGAAGAGTATCTGGAAGAGATTTGTAACCTTTCTTTCTCATGTCAGTTATAGGTTGGGAGGACCCAGCCTCTAGTGTTTCCTCTTGTCTCCACTGACTACAGAGGGAGCCTTGGGAAAACAAGTTCTCACAGGCACCCGGAGGTAATTAGATGAAACTCACTATTCCAGTCTCAAATCTCTGGTTTATTAAGTTACTGGTTTTTTAAAATGAAAATGCTCATCTAGCAGAAGGAAGCACAAGAAAAAATACACGCAAATAAAGACTGACATTTTTCCCTTCATCTTTACTTTTGGTTGGGACATAGAAATGAGCAGAGTAGGTGACTCCAGAAAGTGAATGATTCAAAATGAATGTGGAGGAGAGGAGGGGAACAGATGGTGGGTTTGAAGCAGTGAAACAAAGCTTCTTCACAGACTGTGTTCTCCCCTCAGATTCTGTCCCAGGCAGAATGCCTAGCACTTGCACAAGGAGTAAAATGGAAAGTTCAGTATAGGGCAGTGCTCCCTGTTTGCATTGACATTTTAACCCGGGACTCAGGCTGATCTTACAGCTCAAATGCCTGGATTGTTCTTTGCCTCTAGTCTGGCATAGAGGAATCTCTGCACCAGGTTCCCTCAAGAACTTTCTGAGATTAAAGCACTGGCTGTATTTGAGCAAAAGCTCAAGCTCAGTCACCCACAGCAGCAGTATGAGCATAGTGAATTGGTGACAAAGGTGACAGTCAAGCTTTTGTTCTGTTTTTTTTTTTTTTTTTTTTTTTATGCCATCTGAATAAATTATTTTTTATAAGATTTCATGCTTGAGACTCTACTAGGTTAAGAAATCTATTGTGCAGAAACATCTTTATCAGTAATGCACCCAGATGGGACCCTAGGCCCACCTTCAGATCCTCTCATCTCCAAACATCCAGCTGCCAGCATCGGGTGAGTTCACCTGAGATCTTTGTAGCAGTTGACAGCAAAGGGTAAGGGTTAAAACTTCCTGAGCAGACTTTGTGGAAATACTGAAGGAAGTTCCTTGATGCAGCTTTTTGTGATATGGGGCCTGATCAGCATCAAACAGAGAAAATTAAAAAGAGTGAGTGCGTGGCCTGATTAGCATAAACCATGTATTGATAAATAAGGAAAGTGATGGCAAATATACCCAGTACACAGAAGGACATGCCCTTGGCCATCATACTACAACACTGGAAAGGAATTTTTGTTACAGCAAGTCTGTCAAAAAGGTGTGCAGCTACTTTATGCCAAGAGGGCTGTCCATTTATATCTAGACTTGGAAACCTGGCAGAATGGTGGCCACTGCAAGGGACCTTTGACCAGCACAGACATCTTTCTGGGACATCTCCTAGAGGATATGTTCCCAGGACAAAGGGATTACTGGTATGTTTGGGATGATTTGGCTTGGGAGAAAACACCAAAGTCGGAGGTACAGAATGAAAGAGATATAGGATGAACAAGGTATCGCCAAAGGTAACACTTGCAGTAGAGGAGGCTACTGCCCTGGACAAAGCTGCAGATAATGCGCCAACCATGGCCACCACATTTTATCTGCCTGATGCTCTTTCTTTGTCTTCTGATTCTGCTGTGCTGACTGCCAGACTTTATCCTATGGTTTCTACTGTCTTACTTAGTCCTACTACAATGGAACTGGGGGCAGCAGGTAAAGCTCCCCCACCTGTATTACGTGTATTTACTAACCGACCTTGGAATTCAAGTGACTTGGCTCTATGGGGAAGTAAGAAGTAAAATGCCGAGACTGGAGAGGATGCTGAGAAATGGGCTCACTATTTTCTAACATATGTACTGGGCACAAACCCAATTGGGAAGTACAGAGGTGTTTCTGAGGGAATTATTCCAACCTGATGAGAGAGGTAAAATAATTAATAAGGATGCTAAAATTGAGCAACAGGTGGAAGGAAACAGGAAGCCCTAGCCAGCAAATGATCCAAAATGGGATGATAATAATGCAGGGCATTAAGCTGTTTGTCAGACAGATGATCATCGTAGTGATTTGGGGGATAACTCCAATGAGCACTGTTAAAATATAGAGGAATGACACCTGAGAATTTTAATGACACGCTCTCAACATCAGTGTCTTTGTGGATCAGGCGGCCCCTGATATAAAGAAATATGTTGAAGAGCATATGCCCAGGTGGCAGGGAGAGAATTTGCAAAAAATGTTGAATGTTGAAGTGTTTGTATTGATGAGCACAAGGAAAGGCAGATTAAAGGAAGGAAAAAAATCAAAAGAACAAGAGTCAGTTTTCTGGAGGGGGCTTTAGGAAGGAATTTAGGAAAGATATGTGATGGGGAGGAGAAGACTGGAATACAGGGCATGGATTAAAACCAAGAAAAAAAAGGAAAGGAGAATAGGAAGGCATGCTGAAAGGGAGTGTTATGGTTGCCGGGAGCTAGGACGGATATAGTGGGAATGCCTACTCCCTGTCATGGGGAAGGACAAGAGAGGGAAATTTTCTCTGGGAAGAATTGCCCCAGGAAGACTCGCAATCACAATGACTAGAGGGAGCGGACCATGAGGATCTTCACAGGGGTTAAGGATTGGAAATTTTTAATATGTGGATAACCCAATTAGACAAGCAGGGATATATTATAGGTAAAGTTGAATGTCATGATACTGAATTCTTGGTGGATACAGGAGCTACATTGCCTCTTTTAAATTTCACCCCAAGACCCTCTACGACCACAGAGAGAGTTTTAATACATGGAGTCACAGGACAAATATAGCAGAATTGATCAAACCCTTATAAGTAGTCATAGGAGACAAGAGTATATGGAGGTCATATGTCCTAGCGGAGGACTCCTCAGCATGCCTGTTAGGGAGAGATCTCTTAGAGGATCTGGATGTAGAATTACACTTGTCACCTGGAGGAATAGTTATGGGAATGACTGTGGTCACTGAAAGCCCAAGTAATGAGCTAAAAATCTGTAAATATTGAAGTCCATACCAACAAAGCCATGTGTAGGGGGACCCGTACGGAGACAAGACCCGAGGAACGACCTCACACCGATGCGATGAAAGTCGTTCTCCATTTATTTGTCCGAATAGCGCCAAGATATACAGAGCCAGACGGTCACGCGCTCTGTGCTTTACAATCTATTGGCTAAAGGCACTTATCACGCACCCGGAAGTGATGTGATAGGTCTGCATCGTTAGTACGTGTATACAAACTAAATCTACTGTGCAGTTAGTGTATCCGGGCATTCAACAGGAAAAGCACTAGTTGACTTCCTCATTCTAGCCTTTCAAGGTGACCTCAAGGACAAGATTACCACGTGGCAGTTTTCTGCTCTGAGACCCAGCCTGGATTGTCCAAACCCTGTAGGATCAGTGCATGTCCCTGATCCTCAAGAAATCCTACCACAGCCATGGAGTAGAGATAGCATGGATATAGGATTACTGGTTTCAGCTCAAACCCTGAGCATAAAAACAAAAAGAGGAAATCCCCCTTCTGGCTGTGCAACAGTACCCTATTCATCAAGAAGCTGAGAAGAGCGTTCAAAAGCAAATAGATCAGTATCCAACCCAAGGAATTCTGAAAGCATATGTGTCAGCATATTAAACTCCCTGTAACAACAACAACAACAACAACAAAAACTATACTTGCCTTTTCATACAAGATTTGGGATAATTAACCAGCACATAGTAATCCCTCACCTGGTAGTGCCCAATTCTGCTACTATACTTTTACAAATAACATACTGGGCAAGAGATTTTTTTTTTTTTTAATATATATATAATTGCCATTTTCTGTAGTATCCCTTCAGATGAGAACAGTCAACTTTTGTTTGCATTTACATGAAAAAGACAACAAGTTACCTTGATGTGTCTCCCAGAAGGGTTCGAAGAGTCTCCTACAATTTGATCCGAGACGTAAAAACTACCAGGCAAATCAGTACCTCTACAATATGAAAACAAGTGGTTACTTGCTAGTAAAGCATGTGGAGATTATTTGAAAAATACTTTTTGTCTATGTGCTGTTTAATAGAAAAAAATCACAATACATCTCTTCCTAAGTTTCAGCTGAGTCAGCAGGAAGTAACAATATTTAGGATTCATTTTAAAAGAACAAAGATTAGTTGACCCAGAACAGGTCCAGGCTGATGTATAATATGTTGGGACCAGGAGAGTTAAGTAAGCCATTGACAGAAACTACTAAGGTCAAGGAAGTAGAACCTATACTGAAGGGTTCAGAGACAGAAAAGGCTTTCCAAGATATAGAATGAGCTTCAGCTTCTACTACGGCGTTGAGATTGCTGATTATTCTGATATCCTAGAACTACTTGTACGTGAGAACAACGGAATAGCCAGCAGAGTCCTTAATCAAAAGCTAGATCCACACATCACGTATTACACAACTCAATGGATCCTGTAGCTGCTGGAATAGCTGCTGTGTTAAAACAACATCAACAGCAACTATAATGGAAAAAAAAAAAAAAAAAACTAAAAAACATTCATCCTGGATCTCTCCAGCAACCTGGAGGAAGATCTACAGGATCAACGTCTTGAGAACTCAGACCTAAACCTGTTCACTGATGGATCATCATACTATGTAAATGGAAAATGACACACAGGTAATTCTACAGTGAGAAACACAGAG